CAGGATGGTCTCGATCTCCTGACCTCGTGATCCGCCCGTCTCGGCCTCCCAAAGTGCTGGGATTACAGGCTTGAGCCACCGCGCCCGGCAATTTTTTTTTTTTTTTTAGTAGAGATGGAGTTTTGCCATGTTGGCCAGGCTGATCTTGAACTCCTGACCTCAGGTGATTTGCTCGTCTTGGCCTCCCAAAGTGTTGGGATTATAGGCATAAGCCACCACACCCAGCCTGAACTGCTATTTAGAGCAAATTATGGCCTGGTGTGGTGGCTCATGCCTGTAATCCCAGCACTTTGGGAGGCTGAGGCAGGCAGATCACTTCAGGTTGGAAGTTCAAGACCAGCCTCGTCGACATGATGAAACTCCATCTCTACTAAAAATACAAAAATATTAGCTGGGCATGGTGGTGGGCACCTGTAATCAGGAAGCTGAGGCAGGAGGATCACTTGAACCCAGGAGGCAGAGGTTGCAGTGAGCCAAGATGGCACCACTGCACTCCAACCTGCACAAGAGAGTGAGACTCCGTCTCAAAATAAAAAAGAGCAAATTACTTCTTGTTTTTTCCTGGCACACAGGTAAATAAGTATATAGGAGCTGGGCTTTGATATGGCTGAAAAAAAAATGCAGCCACTTAAGCTTTAGCTTAAAGGGGGAAATGAATTTTATGTCCTTATTCTGTCTTCTTTCCTCTTAAGATCTGACATTGTAGGATACGTGATATGCGGTGGTTGGCCATAGGAGAATAAGATTCTGTTTCTGTATCTCACCAAATAATCCTATTCATTCTTGTCCTAAATTTGTCCCAGGTTGAGTTTGTGTCAATGCAGGAAACTGCTAATACATGCCAAATGGCAAATACTCTGTTCCCAGAAGTGTCTTAATTCAAATGGATTTAGCCTCTTAATCATAGTGATTGTTGTAAGCATGTTACTAGCAAAGCAGGGTGCAGCAGAGGCAGTGATGGCAGAGCTGGCAGGCCCCTGAGCGTGGCCCACGGTTACCTGTTTGCAAGTATAAGTCCCCACTGGTCCTGATGATCCAGGCGGTGTCATCGCTCAGGGCCACAAACACTGCCTGGGGCAGGGCTTCGTACCAGTGCCGCTTCCCCTTGATGGTGACTTTCCCACAAGCAAAAGCCCGGTTAGATTTCTGTTCAATCTTCCAGAGAAGGGCTCCTATGGAAATAAAAATTCTATTCACTATCCAATAAATATTAGAATATATTTCTATACAAAAGTCTTCATGCTGGGCATCGAAGGGAGAAAGACTGCTAAAAACACATCCTGTTCTGTCCCCCCAAGTGGGGAAAGAGGCCACCAGACCCAGGTTTGGGCCCTTGGCCACCACCCAGCTTCAGGCTCCATGTCACCGTCCATCTCCAAGCTTCACTTTCCTCCTGGGCAGTGGGTATCATCTCCACCTCACAGGGCTGCTCTAAAGACTGGAGGCGGGAGCAGATCAACCACATGGCCACAGAGCTGGGCACATGACAGGTGCTCCTCACATGGGATGAGGAACACTGATGACATTATTAGGTTTGAGAAGTCTCCAAATAAACATCCTGAGACACAACTAGTGCCCTAGGAGAGGCTGAAAAAGTCCTTTAGGGATTCAGAGAGAGGGATCAGTTCTGGATGAGCTGAATGGAAAAGATGCACAGAAGGAAGACACTTGCACTGAGTTGGCCCATTTTCACTGTGAAGGGGACTCTGATGAAGAGACGGAGGAGAGAGAGGAAAGGGAAGGCAGGACAGCGCTGCAGCTGGAGGCCTGGTGCAGGCCAACGCAGGCAAGGTGAGGGGCCACCAGTGATCACCGAATGTCAGATGGGCTGGACTAGAGGGCCTGTCAGGCATCTCTGCCTGTGGTACCCCTGGCACAAGGGCTCTGCTGCCCACCAAGGACATGGGCCTGGGCCCTGAAGGACACCTTAACTGAGCATGTGAATCTCATGGAGATGGAGAGTTCCCGCTAGCACAATGAGGGACCAAGGGGCCTGGGAATACAAGTAACTAATGTACTCAGGAATAGAACCAACGGTCTAAAAGGCCAAGGAGACAAACCTGAAGGTAAATGACAGCAACAAGAAATGCATTAAAACACACAACTGTGTAATGCCAGCTTGTGGAGTGGGTTGTTAGCCAGTCTCTAAAGAAAAATATTTTTCAAACAAACAGTGAAAGCAAGCAAGCAAAACAACGCTGAACAAACTAATATTTTAAACAGTGACAAAGACCATGGAGAATTAAGGGAAATTCATCCCGAAACACACTGAAGTTACAGAGGACAGACGGGTCCCAAGCCACAGACTCGGCTTCGGCTTTGTCTGACTTCTATTCCAGTGTCCTGACAATAAACCGGGCTGCTTCAAGGCAAAAGTGCCCCTGCTGGCGCAGGTATCAACGTGGCCAACACAACTTTAAGAAACACATGGATGAAGCTGGAAACCATCATTCTCAGCAAACTATCGCAAGAACAGAAAACCAAACACCCGATGTTCTCACTCATAGGTGGGAACTGAACAATGAGATCACTTGGACTCGGGAAGGGGAACATCACACACCGGGGCCTATTATGGGGAAGGGGGAGGGGGGAGGGATTGCATCGGGAGTTATACCTGAT